CCTTAGGCATGCCAAAGGTAACCTATCACTTAACTACATGTCCAGCTCTGTGGGTATGAGGTTTCTGTGTGAAATCTGTGACATCATAAGGATCTTTTTTATGTGTAATGAGACATTTTTCTTTTCCTGATTCTAAGATTTTTCTGTTTGTCCTTGACTTTGGACAGTTTGATTATACTGTGTCTTGGTGTGGATCTCTTTGAGTTAATTCTCCTTAGAGATTTTAAGAGTTCTTAAAGTTTGAGAGGGTTTTAGCCATTATTTCCAAACACCCCCACCTCCACCCCCACCCAAAATCTTCTCTGAAGTTTTCTCTTCCTGGGACTCCCATGGGTTATGGTTGGCTTGATGGTGTTCCGTAAATCCCTGAGGCTCTGTTCACTTTTTTTCTTTGTCTTATTTTATTGTTGTTTCTCAGACTTGGTATTTTTGAATGACTTGTCTTCAGATTCACTGATTCGTTTCTTTAGTTTGAATGACCTATAACGAACTTTTTGATTTGTTTCATCTACATAACTGCAGAATGTTTGATAAACATTTGTCTGATATTCACCTTTTGCTACATATCATTTTTCTGATTTCCTTTAGTTCCCTATCATCTCCTTTAGATACCTCGTCATAATTAAGGCAGATGGATGTACATGGATATTTGTTTTAAGATAGGATCTTGCTATATTGCCGTACAGATCCTGAATTTGTGATTTTCCTGCCTCAGCTGTATAAATAGCTAAGATTACAGATGTGTGCTACTGTACCCAGTTCAAAACAGCAGTTAAGTTTTTGACAAATAAGTACAAAGTTTGTTTTTTGGGGTTAGTTTCTGGAGACATATTTTATTGCTTTGAATAGGCTTGCTTCCTCTCTCCTTTCTTTTTAAAATTTGCTATCTGAAAAGCCAAACAACTGCTTCTCTGTTGTGGACTGGCTGTATGAAGGTGAAGCCTATCACTTATCAGCCTGGTTTGAAGCTTTAGGGTCTTCCTAGACCTTTCCCGGGCATGTCTTCCCTGACCCTTTGTGTGTGGGACCTGAAAATTCTCCCAATTCCTCCTTATATGCAGTTGCTCATATGTCTTTTTTAGACAAACATAATCTCTGCTTCTCAGTGGGAACTTAGATGTTCTATTGTACTTCCTTGCTTGTAACTTTCCCCCCAGGTGCTAGTGGATCTGAAGTCCCAGGCTGTCTCTCCTGTGTTGGGTGCCTGCCACTGCTTTCAGTGACCAGTTGAGGCAGAAAGATCACAAGTTCGAGGCTTAGCAACTTAGCGGGACCCTGTCTCAACAAGGAAAAAAGGGCTGGGGATGCAGTTCAGTGGTAGAGTGTCCCTGGATTGGACCCTCAGTACCACAAAAACAAAGACCAACCAAACAAATGAAACACATCTAAGCTATGCTGTTGTTCCTGTGGATACTCCCAAGTTAGGAGACAAAGAAATCACTCTCTGGCAGCCTCTGGACAAGCCAGTGTTACAGATTATAGGCTTTTCCTCTGTTCAATGAGAGGTCTGGGAATTGGGTGTCTTGGTGACAACAGTACCGCACTGGGGAGCAGGTGGGGCAAAAGCAAGCCAAACTGCTGTGAAATTTCTACGCCTCTGAGTGTGGCTTTTCTTGACTGCTGCAGGCCTTTGACTGGTTTTCGAGGTCCCACAAAACTGTTTGGTGTTTTGTTGTTTACCTGGCATTTCCATGGGAAAAAGAGTTGCGTCTCCATCATGTCCTTTCCTGTGGCTGCTTTTTAAAATGTTCTCTTTTTCACTGGTACTGAACAATCTGATTTATAAGTTCTCTTGAAGTTTTCATTCTTTCTTGTGCTTGAGCATTTTGGAGCTGCTTGGTTCTTTGAATTTATAGTTTTCATCAAATCTGGAAGAATTTGGCCACCATTTGTTGAAATATTTTTGTATCCCCCAAACTCCAGAAGAGACCCAAATTATAGACTTTAGGTTGCTTCAAGTTGTCTCTTACCACACTGATGGTGTTTTTCTTTGTAATTTTTTTCTTGTTGGCTTTCAATTGAATGTTTTTATTGTGATACCTTTATGTTCACTAGTTTTTTGTTCTTTCTGCAATGTTTTATTTCAATTAATTATATCTACTGTATTTTTAAAATCTCAAACATTATAATCTTAATCTCTAAAAATTCTCCAAAGTGTGTGTGCATGTGTATTTTTTGTTTCATCAACACTGAGGATTGAACCCAGAGCGTTTACACTGAGCTACATCCCCATCTCTTTTTATATTTTGAGACAAGATCTCACTGAGTTGCCCAGGCTGGGCTCAAACTTTTGATTCTCCTGTCTCAGCCTCCTGGAGTGGCAGAATCACAGGCATGTGCCACCATACCCAGTTGTTACTTTTTAAAAAATCTTTTCATATCTCTAATTTTTTGATCCAATCGGATTCAGTTATTATAGTTCAGTATCATTGTCTGCAGGTTCTCACATGTGTATTTTAAATTACCACAAAATATTTCATATTTTGCTGGTTATTGTTATGTATGATTTGATAGATATGTCTGAAGTAGAGATTAGTCTATCGTTAATGATTCCACATTGCTGAGGAAGGATTTTAGACTACTTCTCCCTTGCTAGATTTTCAATTTAGCTGGTGGGAACAAACAGTATTCCAAGCATGGTATGAGTTGTTCTTTCCTTGGCCACTGGTAGCATGAATATATTCATGCACTAATTAGTACTATGACGAATACCCAGAGACCACAGATTCCAGAAGGCGGTCTCAATGTGGCTCTCTCCTCTTCTGGATTTTGTGATCTCAAGCTGCTTTGCTCTTCAAAAGTTGATGAGCGTGCACCCTTGTTTCTTGTCTACTTAGTGCAGGTTTCATTTTATTAATCTGTCATTAAAATTAACACAAAAGGGTATCAAAGATATCAAAATGAGGCTTTTTTCTGAAAGTTAAATGAAATTAAAATTAAATCCACTAGAGACTGAAGCTGTTTGTAGGAGACATCAGGGAATGATGTTTGTGTGACATGGGAAACCTCCAAGGGGATCCTGTGACTGGGTAAAACTGTTGGTGACATGCAGGGTACATGCCGAAATCCACCATCTCTTGTTTAATGCTGTTTTCATAAATGTGGACTGGGTCTCAAGAAATCATCACTAAGTATGTGGATATATCTTTTGATAATCACTTTGGTATTTATCTTGATTCCACAGCCAACAAGTTGGGATTTACAAACTTAAGTAGTGGCTCTGTCCAGTATCTGAAAAGCTTTCTAAGCCTTGATATTACTAAAGAAAATAACAGCAAGTGTGTTTAGGGGTGTTAAATAGCTGACTATATCAGTGTTTTTGGATCATTGAACACAGCTGTTTGTAGTCTTCCTGTTTGAATGTCCACTTTGTATTCTTTGATACTGTGATTTGAGCAACTATTTTCAAGATGATAATATGTAATCTATTAACAGGTGATTTCTTACTGTTATGTTTTTTTTTTTTTTTGTAGTTCTGTATTACGTGTACCCTTACACCGCTTTGTTTTGTTTTGTGTTTTTCTCTTTTTCCTCTTAAATAAAATTTAAAAAAAAAAAAAGAAAGAAAATAACCATCTGTGGAAGATTCTATACTTTCAAAGGCCTGGGGATTCTTGAGAGCCTACTGTCTCTTTAACTTTTCAGGTTATCTCAGTACTTTCTTCAAGGACTCTGTTCTGTGGCCAATCTCCAGCACTTGCCTGCTGCCTACCTAGCACACAGGGCTGGCCAAAGGTTCTGTAGGGAGCTGACTTTGCATGAGGGGTTTTCTTCTGAGTTCTCTGCTACATCCTTTGCTTGCTCCTTGGGAGCAAGAATCCTTTCTGAATCAGAATCCTTTCTGCACTGCCTCTAGGGCCTTTTTGTTTTTGGCCATGAATAATGTTTGGTATCTCTCCCTGTGGGCAAGATTTTTGCCTGATAACACAGGAGATGTTACAGATGACTTGGCCCTATGGAAGCATCACCCAGGTACTGCTATGTCAAGCTGCTATTATACTCTGAATGTCAAAGATAATGAATGCTTTTGCTATATTTATGTAATCAACTATCCTTTCCCCTCCTTATGACTGATACTCTGCCTGTTTTCTTAATTTAGTGCTATCAAAGTAACAGCTGCCAGTCATTACTCAATATCGTTTTGTTTCTTTCAAGTAAAGAAGCAAATATGGTACAGTATTTAATTCATAGGCTTCGAGGTTGATGTTAAATGCCACCTTCAGAAACGAAACACAACACACACACACACAAAAACCCATTCTTCAAGCCCCCAACCAACAAAAACAAGTGAACTGTAAAGGCCAAAATTTTATATAGTCTATAAAAACACTTTCTAGGAAGTGATTTGAAAGCTGTTTAAGGACTGAATTGTGGGTCTTTCAGAAATCTTACTGGTAGATTTATTACTGTTAGAGGGTGAGTCAGATATATTTAATTATAATCTGCCAAAAAATGTATATATCAGGAAAAGAAAAACTTGTACAAATATTTTAATACTAAACTTATTGAGACATCATGAGATTAATACAAATTATCTTTGGCCTTTATAATTACAAGAGGTGTTCAAAGTGGTGTCATTAGCTCTAGACCTTGATTAGTATGGCAAAACTGCCTGTGTGTATACATTTTTTTTTTTTTTTTTGGCAGATTATTTATCTATTTAATCAATCTCTAGGGAGAACTACATACTTTACTGCTTTTCATTCAGCATTTCCTTATGACTTCAGGAGACAGAATGTGACTCAATGTGGCTCTTAACATATTCCATGTCGGGGGAGTACCTGGGAATGTTTTGTATGTTATGGTTCCAGATCGGAAAGATGGCTTACTTACACGTGATCTATAAAACCTGCCCTGATGGTCCACTTGCTTTGCCCAGTGGCTCTGCTTGAGCTATGTTCTAAAGCTGGTGTTTTCTCTTGGATCTGCCCCATCCCACAGGTCTGCAGTGGCCCCATTGACACATAGAATGTGTTCTTTCCTCTGCACAGCAAAAACTGTTATACATCAAAATGTTTTTTTATTTGGAACACAAAAATGCAAAATCGCTCAGATATCAAACATTTCCAGATCATCTACGATACTGCCACTATGTACAAAAGATCTGATGATAAATGTGTACACATATAAAAATACAGTATGCGTTACCTATGTACAGTACATGTGCAAAATGTATGGCATTCAAACATGATATGGAATTGATTCCAGGGGTGCAAACAGCAAATACAAAGGCATCATGGTTTTTCTCTTAAGAAACAACAGAAAGGCAATACATGAATGGACCCCCCGATTGCCATAACTTTTTGTTTATTAAACTAGTGCTTTTAACAAGCAGGGCTCTGAAGATCAGAATCTTTCTTCTGTTTTTCATAAAGTGAGATGCTAAGACATAATGTGACAATGAAAATAAGAGAAATATCTATCACGCTGCATTTCTATTTCAAGCAAGAAAACTAATTTCTACACAGAAAGGAAAAAACTTTGCAATACTACCAAATATGTATTATTCTTAAACCAACAAAACAATTCTATACTATTTTTACATGAAAACAATTGAGAAATATCTACATCTTTGTGAAAATTATAACTGTAAATGGTAATACCTTTTTGGGACTGATTTTTGAGATCTCATTAGTCTCAAATTTTAAACAAAAAGTGCCTCCTTTTGGCAAATAGTTGGCAATGCCTTTGGTTCCTTTAAAGCATTTTGCATTACTATTAGTGACTTGAGGTCAAGTACTTTTGGTAGATACTAAAGTCTTTCCTAAATGCTTTCTCTTCCTACCAAATTAACAAGATTCCTTATAGCAACATGTAGAGAGGTAATTGTTATGTATTCAGTGATTCTCTAAACTTGGTTAAAGCTTTGTTTTAGTAGTTGGCATAAAGCTCTGTTACATACTATGGCTGTGTTGACATCTCCAATAACACAGTTTACGTGATTCTAGACAGCACCTTGTAGATCTCAGATTGCCATCCTGTTGTCTCAAAATTGAGATAGTTTCTACTCATGGTTCACAGAGCAATGTATGTGCATGGAGCGTTAAGAGCTCTTCTGTAAACATGTGCAGCTTTTTGAATTACAAGCCTTCAAAGATTTCAGGTAGAAACACTCTGCCAATGGTGCATTTCCTCAGCTATTGTAAGAAAGGCTGAGTGGAGAATAAATGTGGACCTGCTTATTGTCAGTAGATAAGTCATTCAAGAATAAAAACACAGCCAAGAAAGATTGTTCAATGAGCAAATGACTGAAGGTTTGAACCAGGAAAAATAAATTACATCTTGTTATTTTTCCAGTTTTGATTGAAATCACTTAAAAGATTAGCTGACATACAGTTAGGATACTCTCCAAATACACATTTATGCAATGGTAAGCTATGTTCCTTGGTAAACCTGACCTTCCAGTTTAACTTCTTGTATCATTTGGGGCTAATTTCATGTCCTCTTGGGCAGTGGGTCAATGTATGCCAGTACATTAAGCATCCACGTGTATAGTGACAGACAGTAAGTAGTAGTGTTATTTGTGAATTTTGTTGTTTTGTTGGTACCTGAACTGTTACTCTCTTTAAATTTCTCTGAGAAGTCTGCAGCAATGTCAGAAGCTCCTCACATGACTGACAAGTTAGGTGCTCCTGAGGCCATCCACTACCAGGGACTCAGAAGTGCCATGAATGTGTATGCTGAAGTGTGGGCTCGTCTCACATATTTTCAACCCTGCCAGAGTGCTTTGCCGCTTCTCTGAGGCCAAGGTCCATCTGAAGACAGGAAAGAGACTGCCCTGTCACTCTTGGGGACAGCTGCTTTGTCAGTTCCTGTGGTTGGTTCCTGCCTGGAATTCCGAAACGACCCTGAAGAAAGCCATGTTGCCTGGAATGATTAGGGGCCGAGGGCAGAGGAAGCCTGAGTCAGCTTTGGTAACAAAATGGGTAACACGCTCTCATGTGTCACTTGCTGTCTGCTGACTACACATTTCAGTGGTACTATCTTATTTCCATGATGTTGCCTTCCTGAGATGCAGCTCGGAAGCAGTACCAGATTGCCTTTGCCCCAGTTTCTTAAAAACCAGTGTCAATCATGCCAGTTCATGGGGTCATGCAACTTTAAAAAAGGAAAATTTAAACAAGACCTCTTAGTATTACTAAAATATTCACATGAAACAAACACAAGTATCTGAGGAAAAATTTTCACAAATTCAGAATATATCTGTGTACAATTATGTAGCAAACTGTATTAAGTTGATTAAATGTTTCAGGAAAGCACTAGAACATGAACCGCTGAGACTGTCCTGAGAGGCTTTACTAACAAGATGCCCACATACCCCTACTCTTCCAAGATTTTCTAGAAGCTTTACTGTAATTCTTATTCATCTCACCCCCAATTTGACACCTATGTACAGTGGAAGAAAAGGTCAATACTACTGTGTTTTGAGACTATGAAGGGAAGTAAGACTGGGCTGTGATATATACATTTCTCGGAGTTATTTTCTTGGCAATAAGACACAAAAGTACCATTTCTAAACTACATACATGCATAATAAAAATTTAACTGGCTATTTTGACTTGTGCTTTAATGGCTGTGAAACTAACCTTAAATAAAAAGTCACCTATAGTAAACACACACCCTTTCCCACTGCATTTACTGAGATACAGACTTAGGTTAAAGGGCCTTGTTTACAGAGTATGGTCTTTGGTCATATCACATGCATGCCTGGGACACAGGGTGGGTCTTGAAGAGCAGCATTCATCATACCACAGGTATCTGCTGGCAATGGAGAGGGGCCACTTGGAATGGTGTGAGTGGGACAGTAGCTGTGGGTTCAAAGCTAGAGATCCTTCACTTTCTGAACAATGAGAATGACATGTCAAGGCTTGAATGCATGTGTCAAGTGGGCACTTCAGCCTGTTCTCTCTCGACTGAACTGCCAATGAGATGGCATTCTTTGCATGGCATTGTGTTTTTGGAGAGCAACCTTCTTATGGCATGTTTCAAAACCTATTTTAAAAAAGTAATAAAGGGACCCAAGGACCAGAAAATTATCTATGCTTACAACTCATGATTGTGGAAATATTAGGTTTTTGAACTCAAGTTAACAGTACTAGTTGTTCAGTTGCCTCCTGCATTTCCACTGGTATGTACTGCTAATTTAACAAGCCATTTGATTCTGAATAAGCAGGATGCTCAGACTCTAACTATGGACTTGACCACTCCAGACAGAAGCCCTCAGCAAAAACCCAAGGCCAAAATCTCCTATTGCAAAAGCTCCTTCCTGATCAAATATTTCTGGCTTGGAGATAGCACTGTCAGTGGGACTGACAGGCTTCACTTATCTCCAGTGTGATAAGCCCATGAGGGGCTTGGTCAGGTGGTAGCGTTCAGGTTAACAGGGTTCCTATAGCCAATGTGTCGGATTACCAATGTCTAAACACTAAAAGGATTCACTGAGCAAAGTAGCCATATGTTTAGGAGGTATGTGGGCACTGTTAACCCCTCAAGCCTTAAATGTCCAAGGGCTCCAGTGTGCTCTGTTAGGAAAGTAGACTTTTTTTCTACACATAGTAAAATTTATAAACAACAAAAAATTGAAAATAAGATCACTTTCAGGCAAAATACAAATCCCAAAGTAACTCACAAATTCTTTCCAAACAATGGATCAGCCAGCCAACTGCACATCACTGGAACATTAACTATTTAGTGACTCAGGAGTTGACCTAACCCTAGGGTTTAAGCAAAAGTGAGGTGAAAACCATGGTAGTATTATTTAATAAAAATATCCATGCTCCTTTGGAAGATTTCAATTTTGTTCATTTACATTTTACATATACTTCAATGACTAAACTGAAACGCTTTAGTTGGTATTTTAGGAAATTCATCAGAAACTACTCAATAAATGTGATAACTTTTTTCTACACAAAAAACTAATAAAACCTCCAGTTTATTATCTTAGGCTGATAACACAGTGAGAGTATGGGTAGAATATCCAGTTATAAGTTTGTTAAAAGGAGAACCAGGGATCTGTGAAAGAAAAGACAGCCAACCTCATCTGTGCTCTGGGTGGGAATGTCCTGGGCTCATGTCTGACTTAGCCCTTCTTACTCTTCTATGCCACTAGTTCAGGAAGGTATTTCATGCTAAAGCCTTTATCTTGGTTCTTTGAGATGGGTCTGGTTACCTGAAAGTTAGTCAACAACTCTTTTATAGAAAAAAATGCATGTGGCTCAAGTACTCTAGAAACATTTTGAGTTGCTAAAAGAAGTAGGACTATTGCGTATCTATTTCCTTACACTACTTAATGTAGGCTGTACAGATCACAATGTCAGAGTGTACAAGCAAATGTCTAATATACACAGAAAAACCCATCTAAGCAACACAGAGGGCTGCAAATAGAATTTTCAGTGTTATCAATATACCTGGACTTTTTACAATGGGTTGTTTATGACATCTTATTATGGTGAAATATCTTTCAATTAAATTTGGAAATCTAAAGTAAGACTAGAAAAAAATCACAAAATAAACTACAACACAAAAAATTACACAGGTTTCTGACTGGAACCCAAAGTTTTCAGCTGGAAGCTGACACCAAACTGGCCAGCTCTTACCACTGCCTCTGACCCCTGCTGCATCCTGGCCTGGCTCAGGCTGCCTTTCCGAAGTGCCATGTGCAGGGACTTCTCACAGCAGCCTTGTTTTGTGAGAGTTCTCTACTTATTTATGGTCATAAAGTGAGCACATAGGTGTAAATGTAATTGATTACCACAGAATCCTAGTGTCATTTTCTTGCATACATTACTCTTTCTTATATTTTTGTCTAAAGCTACTTTTCATTCTTTACTGCAGTCTGGAGAAACAGGAGTCTTCTTGTACTAGTGTATTTTTTCAGAAGGCCCTGTGCTCTATTAAATTGCAGAAATTCACTGCTAAATACAGTGAAATGTTTTCGAATTTGGTTTCCAGGCTACGGCTTTCCACTGTGACATCATATTTTGATTGCAATAATGCAACTAGGTAGCGATCTCTAAAAACTGACCTTTCAGATTCTTGTTTTGAAACCTCATGAACTCTGAGACAGGTAACCTGTGATGCTAGTCCCATGGTAATGGTAGATCCTGCGGGTCTAGGAAGTCAGCAGAGAACATACTTGGTACAGTGGCGCTGAGAGGAGTGAGCCCTGAGGATGTGTTGGGCATAGTGATATCCAGCCACTCCATGTTGTCCAAGTTTGAGTCTGAAAGGTCAAGAGACAGACAGGGAGTACCTGCAGCAAACTGGGCCTCGGAAGTCTCCATAGGTGAGTGTGAATGGTCCAGCACGCTGGTGTGGCTCAGCAGATCATTCTGGAGATCAATCAGAGAGAGGGGCTCTCTCTCTTCACTGCTGGTTTGTAGAGGAACAATTTCATTGGCTGAAGGTAAAGTTCCATCCAAGAAGGCTTCTAGTTGGTTCTCTAAGCTGGCAGATAAACTGCTCATAGGTTCTAAGGATACAGGTGGTGCCATTTGGACTTGGGGTGGTGGCCGGGACACCACTGTGTTGACTGGCATGGTGGTGATGCTGGCTGTCACTGGTCTCATTTTGGAAATTGGAGAAGGCTCTTCTTTTATAGGGAGGGAAATCTCTGTAAAATATAATTAAAGTAATTAATAAATATTTATTACCATTCAAAAATTTTTATTACTAGGACATTTATTTTGCTATTTTGCAATTCTGGTCACTTTTATTGTAGAGTTAGAAAAAGAATGTTGTTGGTTGGATATAATCCTTGACAGTCTTTAAAATGATGGATTGTTTTAGTTAAACTGATAAGCATACATGTTCATCTGATGTGCTTCCAGTTCTTTATAGCAGAACTAAGCATTAAAAGCAGTTAGGTCCCACCAGGCAGGAATCAATGATTTTGGATTTTTTAGTCTGGGGTCCTTATTTTCAAACATGTAAGGCTTTAAGGTAGGGCTTCCCTACTGGCTATGGCAGTAGCATCAAAAAGATGAAAGGGCAGTGCATATCTCGAGTTTCATGCAGAGTGATAAAGTATATCCTTGATATTATGAAAGAGCTAATTCTTATTAATGGGCCATCTGCTATAGACAGCAGTATTCACTTCACTACATATATTTATCTTCATTTTTATAAGGATATAACTTTTCATTTATACCAAGGCAGATTAGGAAAAATTAATGTAAGCTCTTAAAAGGCTTAATGACTGCGATAGTTAAATAGGTAAAAAGAAGATTCCTATAAAGAACTGGTCACTCTACCATAGGTTTTTTTTGGAGTTTGTTACTTGTATCTGTAATCACCTCTAGAACTGCTTGAAAGCTTTAAGTGCAATCTAAGTAACTAGTCTTATAATCAACTATTTAAATCTTATTACTGATAATAGTATATAATAAGGCGAAATAATACACTTATTGAATACTTTATCCAAAGGAAAAAATCATCACTTTGAAAAAATCAAAATCATTTCCTGACTTCATCACAATCCAATTTCCAAGTTTAGGCTATAAAATTTTCTTATTTTAATCATTTTATTTATTTTAGCAAAATAAATCATTTAAAAAGTCTTCTTTAGCAGATTTAGCAAAAATTTTTTTAAAATCCTAAAATCCAGGCATGGGATGTCTATTTTTCAAGTGTCTAGTTTAGATATGAGTTTAAATTATTTTTCAAAGCCACTTGAACTCAGCAAAAAATACTACAACATTTGTAAATGAAGATCTAGTCAAATACCAAGAGTTTTCCGTTACATCAAATGTTTTGGAAGAACATCTACTTCAATATCAAACACTTGCCTTAATTGAAGAACTTTTCACTCTTACTACTTAAAATTCAAATAGACTTTTTTCATCAAGGTAATTTAAATATTCTTTAATAAATTACATTGTTTTTTTCTTCTTTTTTGGTGTGTATGTAGTGCTAATAACTGAGCCAACAGCTTCATACATACTAGCAAGTTCTGTACAATTGAGCTACATTCTTACTCTTTGAATTTTTGGAAATGCTGATTTTAATACTTGTTTCTTAAGACATGTAAGATACGGCAGAGATATAATTGATTTTGTAGTTAATATTTCTTTGTAAGACCATATATTGTAAGTCTAAGATTTCTTATTATATGTAGAAAGTGCTTTATCATGCCTTTGAATTTTATTAAAGCAATACAGTCCAACTGGACTATTACACAATTAAAGTTGGATTGGAATAGTCTCATTTCCAACAATGAATGAAAGGCAAATCTGGCTTTACTTTGTTGCTTGAAGAGGGTTCTTTTTAGCAGGCATACGTCTATGGATAAATCTAACATATTACTGCTTGAAGCTTAATCAATGACTTTTTCTCCATTTATAGTCAGTTCTTTTAATGGCCTAAGTTTAACATGTTTTTTAAGACAGGGCCTTGCTATTAGTTCATGTTGGCCTCAAACTCATGACAGTCCTCCTGTATCAGTCTTGCAAGTGAACCACCATGTCCAGCTAACAAATTTTAAAATAGTAAGTTATTTGAATTAGATGTTTCTTAATATCTAAAGATAAGCTTTGAGTTCTAGGAAAAAACTTAACGGAGCTATGCATGGTGGCACACACCTATAATCCCAGCACTTGGGAGGCTGAGGAAAGAGGACTAACTGCCATGAGTTTGAGCCCAGCTTGCCCTATACAAAGAATCCATGTCTCAACCAAAACCAAAACCAAAACCAAACAAAACTGTTACAGACTTGTATTAAAAGAATACTTGCCATGGGGGCTGAAATGACCTGTGACCTACCTCCACTCTTTATGAGGATATCGAAGAGATCATCCATCTGCTGACTATGTGCATTGGAAATCTATAGCAAAGAAAAAAACAAGTATCTTTCATACAAACACAGAATATTCTAATTTATCATTTGATAATTTAGAAAACACTGAAGTCATTGAGAAGTTATTTACAGAAGTGTCATAGCTGGTTAAGTCAACTAAGTGCTGAGCAAGAAATTAGCTCAGCTGATTCCTACACTTTCCCTATTTTTTATTGCTGAATTTTGAGAGGCTGCTAATACTTTAAAAGTATCTTTATTTATTTGCATTTTGGTAAAAATTTGTATGTCTAAAGATGACCACATTATAGTATATATATTTTCTCAGCTTAGAGATTTACCTGACATATAGTAAACTGCACTTAATGTATATTACCCAATGTAATGTTTTGACATGTACAATCTCATGAAACCATCAATAAAACTCAAGATAGTACATCTGTCGCCTACTGAAGCTTCCCCATGCTCTTTTATAATGCTCACCTCCTGGAACCCCTCAATGATCTGCTTTCTTTCACTACAGGTTAGTTTTATAAAATGGATTCATGCAATGTATAATTATTTGATGTGGAGGGGAACTGGCTTGTTTTAATCAGTATATTAAGATTAAGCCACATTGTAGCATATACTTTAGGAATAGTTTATCCTTTTTAAGGCCTAGTAGTTTTTCATTGTATGGAAAATTTTCAGTGAGTTTAATCATTCACTTTCCATAAAAATTTTGGGTTTCTAATTTTGGGCTATCACAAAGTTACTCTGAAAATTGTGTGCAAGTCTTCATGCAGGCATATGTTTTCTAATGGGTAACCAGGAGTGGAATGACTGGATCACAGAGCAGGTATACATTTACCTTTCTAAGAAGTGGTCAAATCGTTGTCCATAGAGATTGTACCATTTTATGTGCCTACCAGCAGTGTGAGATTTCTAGTTACTCTGTGTTCTCACCATTTCATGCATTCACTTTTTACATTTCAGAAAGTATGTAGTGATATCACAGTGTAGTTTTCTTTTTTTTGTCTTTTTCGTTTTTATCGGTACTGGGGATCGAACTCACGACTGCCTGCTTGCAAGGCAGGCGCTTATGCCGCTGAGCTAAATCCCCAGCCCCTCACAGTGTAGTTTTAACTTGCATTTCTCTGATGGCTAATGATGGTTTAACAGTTGTTTTTCATGTGCTTATTTTCCATCCATTTATTTTCCTTGGTGAACTGTCAAAGTCTTTTGCCAAATGTAATTTTTTTAAGCTTACTGTTTGCATGTCATATCTTTTTTGACCATTTACTTTCAAATCATGTCTTTATATTTAAAATATGGCTCTTAGAATTACATGCATTTAGTTATCTACTGCTGCATTAAGGATTATGGTGGAATCAGTCATATTTCTGTGGGTCAGGAGTTTAGGAAAGGTTTAGATGGGTGGTTCAGGCTTTTGGTACTGAAGCTGCAGTCCACATACTGGCTAGGATAAGTTGGCTGAAGATGTGACACTCCTAAAAAGGTGGCTTACTCTCTTGGGTGGCAAGCTGTAATGCCTATTGATAGGAGGCCTCATGTCCTTTCTGCTTCTCCACATGGCTGCTGGAGAGTTCACATGGTTTTCCAGAGCCAGCAAACCAAAGGAGAGGAAGGCCAAACCTGTTATAACCTAATCTTTGAAGTCAGACATCATCCCTTCTGCCTTTTCTGTTCCTTAGACATGAATCACTAAATCCAACCCAAGGACAAATATCAAACACTTTGTAGAACCATCTTAAAAATATCATACTACATACAGTTGAGCCTATGCCACTGAGCTAAATTCCCGGCCCAGAGCCTGACTTTTTATCCATTCTGCCAGCTTACGCATTTTCATAGGATTGTTTACTCCACTAGTGTTCATTGTAATTACAATGCAGGTTAATTTGGGTCTATCATTTTATTTTATTACTAGCCTATTTGTTCTTTGTTGCCCTGTTTTTTTCTTTTCTGTTCTTAAAAATTTGTTTTTGGTACTTATTTACTTTGTTTTTTTGAGTTAGAATCTTACTATGTAGTTCAGGATGGCCTTAAATTTGCACTGATTCTTCTGGTTCAGTCTCCCAAGTACTAGAATTACAGGCATGTACTACCATACCTGATTTGTTTTTGGTATTCCAATTTAATTTTTCTATGGTTCTTTTGAAGCTATACTATGTTGTATTCATTGTTATTGTAAATATAAAATACATACTGTTGTGGGCTACTTAATGTACCATTGCCTAAAAAATTGGCATCTCATAATCATACAGACCCATTTATTTTCTGTCCTCTCCCTTTTTCTCTTACTTTAAATATTGTATATACCCCATTATAAACGCAAGACAGTTTTTTAAAAATCAAATTATTTTGAGTTTACTTTCACTCTTAAAGGATATTTTCAGGTCAAACAAAATTCTGGGTGACACAGTCCTGCCCGCCTTTTCCCTACTAAGAACTTTATTTATTTATTTATTTATTTATTTATTTATTTGTCTTTTTCCTTTTTATCAATACCAGGGATCGAACTCACAACTGCCTGCTTATAAGGGAGGCGCTTATGCCGCTGAGCTAAATCCCCAGCCTCCCCACTAAGAACTTTAAATTCATTACATTTTTTTCTGATTTCTGTATTTTTTGAGGGAAAGTTGACGTTAATCAGTTGTTTGTTTGGTGTATAATGTGCTGCTTTTCTCTTGATACTTTCAATAATTTGAGTGTAATGTGACTAGGTCTTCTATTTAGATATCCAACATCTTACAACTACAAATTTATGAAAAATCTGGCCATTAGTTTTTCAAATAACTTACCTGCTTCATTCCCTCTTTCAAGGATTTCTCCTCAGCCTTTATTATAGTTTGATACTATAAAACAGCTCTGGGTCTGTTTACTTTTTTTTTTTTTCATCAGATTAGATAAATTCTAGGGATCTGTCTTCAAATTCACTTTTTTCTTCTGGTATCTATCTACTAAGTTCATTCTTTCTTTCATCTCGATACAAAGTTATGGAGCCTTAAAAGTAACTTCTACATCTGTTAAGGTTCCTTGTATTTTCATTCATTATGAGCATATTTTGCTCACTTCATCAGTGGATTGTTATAGTAGCTGCTTTCAGATCTGGGTTAGTCTCATCTTAGTTAACTGGCTCTTTCTTTGAGGGCAGGTGACATTTCCTGATTCTTTTTATGTTGCATTATATGAATGGATGTTATAGTTGTAAAATTGTGGAGAATTTGGATTCTTTTATTTTTTTTCTCAGATCAGTGGGTTATTTTGCAAGCTATCCACTTGGTTGGACTTTAACTTAAAAATGTTTCTTGGATAGATGTCTGAATCTCAATTTAGATCTTTTGTTTTCAACTGAACTACAGTGAGTCTATTCCTGTTTGTACAGCTTAGGGGTCAGTTCAGACATGTAGAGAGACAGAATCTGGGCTTCTCTTCTCTGGCTCTTTCCCTGCTCTTGACTTGGTCCTCACCTTCTAGGCTATAAAGTTTACAGTTTTGCAACCAGTGTCTTTGCCACTTAACTTGACAACAGAGTACAATCAGTAAAAAGAGGAAACTTGTGTCACATAATTTTCCTTCTGAGTGAATATAGATTCCTTGTTAGAATATGGTTGCTTCTATTCACTCTTGACTGCCTTTATATAGTTGCTTTCTTAAGCTTTCATCTGTGAGATGAACCAGTGAATGAAGGGATCATTATTGCCTTAATTTAGGAATTAGTAGAATTAGAAGTCTGAGAACATATATTTAAAAAAACCTCAGAATTCTAGAGTTGGGCATACATACAGTGGCATATAAAGTATAAAAAGGCCTTGACTTACAAAGAAGTTCTATTTCAGAAGAACATTCGTAAGCCAGATTTTTTCCCAAGTCAATTTTTTCAAGTCTGACAAACTGAGTTATGGCACAGCAGACTTCACATGTTCCACGATTTTGCCCTTGTTCTTTAGAATTGTATCAATGGTTGAGTGATTCATGTTGTAAGAATAAGCAGTGCCTACCATCTTTTCACCTTGGTCCAATCTCTCAAATTATTTTCACTTTTTCCCATGGTTACTGCTTTGTGCTTCCTCGCAGTCCTCTCCACATCACCACTGCTTTTCCACTCACTTCTGAACATCTTGTGCTCTGACTGAGCACTGCACTGCTGCACACTGTTGCACTGTACAGTGAGCACACAGCAGCACAACTGTGACAATGTCCAGCAGAGACGTGAGCTACTTCCAGGATTTGTCCACAGCTATGTAATGTGGTATCTATACGTATATGTGAAAGTACACAATTCAAATGTTTGTAAGCCGGGGACTTACTCTGTAGTACACATAGGTGCTCATCTGAAATCACAAAACAATGTAGAACTTGTTTCCCTCATAAACATGCAGATACAAGGGATTCCAACTGACTGTGTTAGGTTAAAGAAGAGTCTTTTTAAAAAATCTGAATCAAGACAGCAATACTAATAAACCTGTGAGAATACTAATAAACATGTGAGAATCAGGTTTGGAAGGATGTCTGCCGTCTTTTATTTTTGTAAAATCTATAGTTAAGTGCTTGGTAATTCATTCCTGCTCCCCTATGAAGAGGACAGATGGACCATGGAAGCACCATTTGTGTCAATTCTTATTGCAGATATTTAAACTTATTTCTGGAAATTTGGCTTTCCCCTCATAGATAAAAGTTCCTGTTGAAGTAGGAACTATGGAAATATTTTATGACTGCAAAATCTGTCTTCCCCAGTACTAAGTGAGTATTAAGAGGCATCCATAGTAAAGGCTTCCTCAAGCAATTTAATCTGGCCCTGAGCGTAGTTGTGTATACTTTGTGAGGCTGCTAAACTGCACGCTGTCCTAGGTGCCACAGTTTTTACTAATGCACACTTAGGCTCCCATAGAGGTCCAGGCAATCACCATGTGGCTATGTGTACTCCCCACTTGAGGGGGTTGGCTTGTCTGTGCTTGCTGTAAAAAGCTGAGTCCCTGGCTCTGACCTACCTTAGGTGTAGCATGACCTACTGCATATATTTACAAGTTGGCACAACCATGCTGATCCTATTTGCTGTAATACCCAGTCTTAGATATACTGTGCCTTGCTGTTATGTTTAACCCTTCTTGAAAGTAAGTTTAAATTTTAAGCTTTGCAAAGTTTTAGAGAGGCAAGGAGACTAGGAGGAGTGTTTAGGGAATAAATGACAAGTTTCTGCTATTGTCGGGTACTTACTATGGGCCAGATGCTTTAATAAATAGGAACTGTTAACTTCTTGCATGCATTGGGAATGCTGCAGCTACTCTCATTTTCTCAGTGAAATAAGGAAAGCCTAGAAGAGGGGTATGCACCTAGTTCAAAGCCATGGTCATGGGTGAACATTGGGAGAGGTGAAGCCTGGAGAACCACAGATCTGTCACTCCAAAATGCACTTGCCCAATCTATGCAGTCATCTGTGTGGGCTGCAGGGACCAGAAGAGATGAGGTAAGATCAAGGGGTCTTAAGGACTGGGCATTCTTCACTGTCAGGCAGACAGAAGAGGATCAGTTCACTCTTGATGAATGCCAAAAGGTAGCTTTAGAAATGAGGGACATGAAGTGGCTACCCGAGACCCAGCCATGTTGGGACTTGGATGGCTGCACAAGAAAGCAATCTGCCCACCCTCTTGGTAAGTGCCCCTGGCGCTGGCTGGGAGGAGAACCAGTCAGCTGTTCCTGTGAGCCTACTGGCGTGCGGGCTGAGAATCAAACACCCCCCCCCCCCCCCCGCTAGCAACTGGGGACAGAGTTCTGAGCATCTCTTGGGAGGATGACTATATGCAATATAGCAAATAAGGGGGATTTCCTTCTATGTTCTGTTTCTTTCTTTCTTTTTTTGTCTTTTTCATTTTTATCAGTACCAGGGATCAAACTCACGACTGCCTGCTTGCAAGGCAGGCGCTTATGCCGCTGAGCTAAATCCCCAGCCCCTCTATGTTCTGTTTCAAGGCAAAGGTTATTTTCACTGTTATGTTTTGTAATGATTGTTATGCTCTATTCAATATTCTCCTTTAATTGGTTTTACAATGGTCTGTTATTGGTTTGATTTCGCTATACCTAATTGACTGGACAACTATTGTGAAGATAGTGAGATTACTATAGTACCTATTACTACTATCCCAGTATCCTGCTTTGAAGTTCTCTACCAATGTCACTACATTGTCTCAATTGGCTTTGTTTTATCTTGTTCTGTTGTATTTTTACTACATAAAATAAATTAAAAATAAAAGAAGTGAGGGACCTCAACCAAACTCACGCCCTGGAATAATTAATCTGCTCTAACATGACTGACCCCCTTGACCCAAATGAAAAGTTAAATCCAAACCCTGAATTTCTGAATAAGTAATAACTACAGGTTATACTGCTATGGCAAGCTGTCTGGGATTATTATTATTATTATTTTTTAATAATAAATGACATTTCAGTGTTGAATAACCTGTTAAAATATAAAGCTCCTAGCCATTATCTTTGTGTTCCTACTTAGGCAAGTCACTTTTAGACAAGTGTGTCAGTATTAACACTGGTTAAAATTTGCAGACGATACCTGAAACATAAGCCTTATGAACCACTGCCTCTGCCCTAACTTACCTCTGGAAGAGATGGCTGTACACTGCGTGTCTGCTTGATGGCTTCCTCATAGCGGGGTGGGTCTTTCGTCTTGGTGACTGGGGTCCCAAAGAGAGAGTGCTGGACAACAAACTGCTGGGGTGGTGGAGGTGAGCTAGTCTGTCATACACAAAGAAGGACCATGTGTTAGCTCTTTGCAATGGGCCCACTGCAGCCTGTTAAGATAGGACTCAATTCTGCTGTCTTTCCCACAAGGACTAAAGCATGGACCTCACAAACAGCTTCCTTAAGCAATTGTGGCTGACCCTCTGTGGAGAGTTCATTTGCACTACAACTACAGCTGAGCTCCTCTTGACAAGCTGCCACCACTGCATTTTTAACTACATCCCCCATCAATATTGATACTGTCACTCCCAGCGGAAAGCACCCTGCACCCAGTGAGCACTGTGGGGACTGTGGGCACATAGACGTACCTTGCTGTGACTGTTGGGTCCATTTTGCAGGGAAGGGAGTGGGGTAGTTCTGGACTGAAGACTGCTGCTGGAGGTCTTAGCAATAAAGGGCTGCTGCACTGCTGGAGCAGATTGTCTTGGATACGGAAGAACTGGATTTGGTGCTGAGCTTGTGCAAACCTGTGAAGAATAAGTATTTCTCTATCAATGTCTTCTTTTGCTCCTTTTAATGAAGAAGCTGTATGTTACATCAGGACTCGGCAAAATTCTGTAAAGGGGTGTACAGTGCTGAATTTAAGGTTTGTGGCCCATGTAATCCCTCTTGGAAACACTCACCTCTGCAGCAAAGACAATCCGGATAAATGGGGGTGGCTGTGCACCAATAAATTACAAAAGCAGGTGGTGGGCTGGGTCTGGCTTGTCCACCCCTGTATTTTGAGAACAAGTGGCTCCTTTACCCAGTGACTTATCTTGAGTGGCTGTGCAGATGGCACTCTAGTGGAGTGTTTGCTAATTATTTTCCTCCTAAATGTCAGTGACATTTCTTACTAAGATGACCTTCTCTATTCTCATGGCTTTAACAGTTAGGATAAGCTAATAATCTTCCAGCCTACCCCTCTACCTCCAGCCTTGCTCCCAATGCCAAATCTAAATCCACATCATCCTTCTGGATATGTCAAACTTAGTATGATACACACTGAGCTTTCTTCTTTCCTCCCAATACCCACCTTGGGAAGAATAGCAGTTTTTGGTATTGTTTCAGTTTTTTTCCTTATACTCACACTAATGGTGCCAATAGGTAACTAACTGCTTTTTCCATCTCCTAGAAACCCTTAACAGCTGGGGCTCTGCTCTTGGCTAACCTAATCCAAGTACTCACTGTCCCCAGCATCACAACCCTGCTCCAGCTCCTACCACACTCATTAGCTCTCTTGCCTTCATCTGCCTGAGGAGCTGTTTTCTATAAGACAGAGATGAGAAGAAATTTTGTGGAATGCTAGAATGTTTTGTATAGCTCCATCAAGAGCCCAAAGTTTTGGGGCCTTTTTCATAAATATAAGACCATACTGCTAATACAGTATTGTGTTTCACAGGATGAGTGTTGTGGTATGTGCGTGTAATGCAGTAAGTTCAAGGTCAACCTGAAATATATAGCAAACATCTCCAAAAAACCAAGCCAGAGAAAATAAATTTTACATGATTGATAGTCCCTATATTTTTATCATGTATGTTTCTAATAAGTACTACCTCTAGGGCTAAGTGTGGTGGTGCACGCCTATAACCCCAGCACTTGGGAGCCTGAGGCAGGAGGATTGCTGAATGTTTGAGACCAGCATGTGCTACAAGCTGAGCTCAAGGGAAGCATGAACTGCATAGGGAGACACTATCTCAAAGAGCCACAAAAAAAAAAAAAAAAAAAAAAAAGTACTACCTCTGTGGATGAGTTCTATAAGTATGTTCCTATTTGAAAAATCTGAAATTTCCTTATATTTGTTAAAAAATTTTTTTCTTGGGCCAGGGCTTTAGCCCAGTGGCATAAACACCTGCTTGGTGAGTGTGAGGTCATGAGTCCAACCCCCGTCCCAAATATACATATATACACACACAAATGCTGGAAGTCATGATTCCTAATTCTAGTATTTTGAGACTTAGGGACTAAGCCCTTACTTATCCTGTCTATATGTTGTTGTTCTCTCCTCCCTAAATCAAGGAACATTTATTAAACTGGGCTGTTCTCAAACTCTGTAATATACAACTGTGATTCCTTTTGAACTGCACTGGAGGGACAGGGAGTTCTGAATGAGGGCACATGTGCTAATGCAGTTGCTGCTGTCTAACCCTGCGTCTTAACCCACAGTTTAGACTATCCTGAGGCACAGAGACAGGTGCACCTAATTACTAGATTCTTTTATGTTTTAAGATGAAAACTCTGGGACTAGTAGTTCTCAAGGTTTAAAATAGGAACACCTGTTTTTGAGGTCTTAAGATTTTTTTCTGGCAGAGATATGCACATAGCTCCCCCTACTGGATATACAGAATTTTATTAACTTAGGGACTAATGTCAGAATTTGAGGTAGGAAACACATGAATAGTGAGTTCTACAGCAATACCTTTATTTGAAAGATAAGGAAAGGAATGCTTGGAGGAAATGAATGCTGCATGAGGCCATGGATGGCAGAGGTGGTGCACTGCCATGATAAAACCTGCCTCTTGACCACAAGCTCTCACAAACATAGAGATAAAAATCTCATTTAGTTCAGCAATGTCAGAAATACTTTTTCCAGGGAATAGTATATTTAATTGAGAATTTATTTTAAAACTCAGTAAATTCAATAGATGCAGGGTAAAAAATATGCTTTTGAACAATAAAAAGAGGATTCCCTATTAAGTTTGGTAAGTCTTTAGTACCAAAGAACTCCTTCTCAACCCCACACAAATGGTATCTGACATAGGGCTTTCTATTGCAGGTGGATTACAGAAAATAGACAACAGAGGCTTCCCCAAATACAAGCTCTTGGGAAGATGCCTAGGGACTGTGTGAGCAGCTGACAGTCACGGTCTGTCCTCAAGAGCACTCACTGACCTTTCTGACTTGCTGAGGCTGACTGAGCACACCACCCTGTGGGAAAGCATCTTGTTTCTGAGGTGCAGTGGGAGCCAGGCCTGAGGGCAAGGCTGTGGCTGCGGCTGTGGCTGTGGTTGCGGCTGGCACTGGTGTAGCAGCTGCAATCTGGGGCTGAGGCTGGATTCCTGCGTGCGGTGGTGTCTAGGAGGGAAACAGAAGTCAATGGAACTGTCGGAAGCAGCGCTGGAATCCAGAGTCTCAGTGTAAAATAAATGGTAAAGTGTCAGTCATCTAGAATGACTTGAGACCATGCTTACAGATATATACTTCGGGTCATCTGTGTAAGTCTAAACCTTTGCAATTCTTTGCTAAAAAGTTTAAAATTTTAACTGGTACATAAAACAAGACTAAAAATATTAAAGGATTCCAAATTAATGTGATGTTTTGATACATGTATATAATCTAAAATATTCAAATCATGTTAAACATACTTATAGCCTCAAACTTCTTTGGGGGGAAATGTGCTGCTAGGGATGGAAGCCAGGGTCTCACACATGCTAGGCAAGTACTCTACCCATGAATTATACACTCCTAGCCCCTATTACTACTTTTGGTAAAAATATTCCAAATCCTTTATCTTTTTGAAAGGTGTAATACATATCTGTCAGTATAGTCAATCTATTGTGCAACAGAACACCAGAACTTTGTGTTCCTATTTAAATAACAGTATTCAATACCCACTCATCAACCTCATCTATTCCTTACATGGCTAAGATTTTCATCTGAAACATTTAGGAAAGCTGAAAACTAAGTAAGAGTATACAATGACTCTGTATATAATAGGTTAGATACGGTAATACATTTAACAGCAACCAGGAAATCTGTGTGGTCCAACTGCCCGAATTCCTGCTTTTGACCTGTATTGTATATTCTCTGGGGACAGCCAATAACATGCTGGATACACACAGGCCCAGGATATGATGTACTTTATATTACTAAAACACAAACTCTAATGTAAAATTTGGACTAAAAGCATTTTTTAAAAGATACAGAACAAACTTTCAACTTTACAGGTGCTTTACAGATTAAAAAAGGTAGTTAGATTTTTTTGCACTTGTCAAGAGCTTCAGGTCATGGCTTCCTACCCCAGGATTATAAGATGATTTCTCTTAGCTGTTACAAGAATTTAGAAAATCAGATTGAAAAACACTGGTCCAAATGGTTTCTTGTTTAGTGATCCACATTTGGTTAAAACCTACCATAACTGCACTCCATAAGAACTTAAGGTCAGTGAGGTTATGTAGACAAAACAGAACTTCATGCTCTCTTGTATTTTTTCTCTTTCAACTTGCACTTCTTAAACTGTGGTCATAATTTCTTTAGTTCAGATATTTCCACAATAATGGTGTCTTCCAAAAACTAAATTTGGGAGACAGAATGTAAAAACAGACTAAAGAGCAAACTCTCTGGAGTAAGACCTGGGTTTAAAGTCAACTCTGTCCTTGAAGGACTTACTAAATCTTTCTCGGTGTCAGTTCCAGGAATGGGCTATATCATTTGGATTTTCTGGGGAAGGCAGGGTGATGTGAAGCAAGCAGAAAGTTCTGGAGGCTATGCCTTCCACATAAGAAGTGCTCAACAGCAGCTGCTATTGTCATTATGACAATGGCACTGCTTTCAAGTGTCTACACACATGAAATTGTGTGCACTGAAGGGAAAGAAGGAAAGAAACAGAAAAGTGCCTGTTTTTTTTTTTTTTTTTTTTAAATATAAAAATAGTGCTATTGGGGGCTAGGGATTTAGCTCAGCAGCATAAGTGCCTGCCTTGCAAGCAGGCAGTCGTGAGTTCGAGCCCTGGTACCGATAAAAAGGAAAAAGACCAAAAAAAAAAAAAAAAAAAAAAATAGTGCTATTTATTTTGGTGAGGGGATCTGGGACTTGAACATCAAGAGTCAATCACATGCAAGGCAACTGCTCTACTACTGAGCTATGTTTCCAACCCTTTTTAAAATTTTTGAGACAAGATCTCACCAAATTGTCCACTTTGGCCTCAAAGTGGTGATTATCCTGACTCAACTTCTTCTTGAGTATCCAGGATTACAAGTGTGTGCCACTACACCTAGCTCATTTTTTTTGGATATCCATTCCATATGAACACAGATTTTGTACAACTGTGAATCCTATAGTAGATGCAATTATGAAAAAGTTCAGGGGACGACTATAACACAGGCTATAAGGCAAAGTGAGAAACACTTCCCACCTGCAGTTTGAGGTTGCCTACTGGGAGTTGCACTGAGGTGACACTGGAGCCCTGGATAGACACTGGAAGCAGCAGCTGAGCAGTCTGCGTCGTGAGCAAAGCCTGGGGCTGAGCAACAACAGTGGGTGGCTGTCCTTGGGAGCTCACATAAAACTGTGAGACTACACTCTGCTGTTCCGCCTGGGCCACAGGGACCTCTTGTTTGATGACTATGGCCTTTTTGGCAACAAGGGTCTGGGCACTGGCAGAGATGGGCTGGCCTACAGAGTGGCTGGCTGCCAGAATGGGCTGCCGGGAGCTGGAGCAGTCAGACAGTGAGGCTTCGTCCTTGACGGAGGAGCCAGTACCACTATGTTTCTGGTCTGACGTGCTGACAGAATGAGCAGCAGTGCTGGGTTGGGGTTCAGGTGGCCGCTGTTGCTGCTGCCCTCGTTTTTCAACTTCAAGTTGCATCTTCAGAACCTCCACCAGCTTCTGCTCTTGTTCCAGTTTCCTCTTTAGCTCTTCAATCTGCTTCTCCTTTTCCTGAAGTTTGCGATCTTTCTCAGCGGCATCTAATTCTAGGTTTGACAGAGTGCTGCTGGTGGGACTCAAGCTATCTTCATGGTTTACCGCTCTTAGGGGAGATGAGCACAAGAACTGTGAGGGGGACATCATAGTCATGATCTCAGTGAAGGTGTCTGCCACGGTCGTGTCATCAGTACTGAGACTAGACTGTTCAGAGGGTGACGGTGAGATTGGCAGAGGGGAATGAAGATTTTCAACATGGGCTGCACTGCCAGGAACAGCAGTTGGCAATTCTGCCTTGAAAGTGGAGACTGAGCTAGTGACGGCATTATGTAGTGTTGTAACAGGCAATGCCTTGGTGACTTCTGGGTTACTGGTGACGATGGCTGACGATGACACTGCCACAATACTTCCAGGGGGAAGACTGCTGTTGTTCACCTCCTGGTAGGGTTTCAGACGTTCAATAAGGTCTGGTTTGGTGCCTGACACTGGCAGACCCCTCAACTTCAGTTCTGTCTTCAGTTCTGATACCTGGAGATGCAAACAGATCAGATTTCTTGGTTTAAAACTTTCTGGCAAATTGACATTAAACAGTAGTCCCTGTACATCATAGGGGAGCAACAGTAGATGCATGAAACTACTCAGTACCAAGTCTTGCACATACTATGTTTTTTCCATACCATAAAGTTTAATTAAGACACAGTAAGAAACTGAACAACCACTAATGATCATATACTATAATAAAAATTAGTGTAGGTGGTCTTTACTCTGTTGCTTGTACAAGGTGCCTGAAAGTAACTGAGAGTCACTACCAGTCATTTTGAAAGAAAGAACGAAAGTAAAAAGAAAGTACTTCCGCAAAGGCTATCATATTGCTAAAGTTGAATGTCTATTGAAAACCACATACATCTAATAAACCTGACTTTTGTTTATTACATTTTTGTGGTACTTATAGATGAATATCTCTACTTGGAATTATCACCTTTAAGTCATCCAAGCTAGAAGGCAGAGGTCCTGGCTTTCTTACAGGAACAGATGTATTCTGTCTTGGTGTGTTGGGCGTGGCACTGCTCAAAGATGAATTTCCACTGCTGTTATTTTTGTCATTTCTTCAAAAGAAAAAGAGAATTAGTTTATAATGAAATAATTTTGAGATCTGATGTTGTTTTTCTTAAGTTTGTTTAGCTTAGGAAGAGACTATGATTATAGTTTGGAAGACTCAGTTTGTAAAGACGTCAGGTAAGCTAAGTCCTGATAAAACTCTCTGAAGGGTTTGTTTGCTGGTCTGGTGGAAAGTTGGAAGGTGATTGTATGCTTTATATGGAAACGCAAAGGACCAAAAATGGCCATGATATCCTTGCAGAAGGAAGCAGCTTGGAAGAACCACATCCCAGTATTAACATGTAGTTATGCAATTATCAGAAGGTGATAATTCAAACAGTGGAGAGAAAATGGTCCTTTTAATCAATGGTGCTAGATATTTATACAGAAAAAAATGGCCCTATCTTACATCATTCTCAAAACTTATGAATTATGAAAACAATAACCTTTTATAAGAAAACAAGATAATATTTTCATGGCCTTTGCAAGAGCAAAATTTCTTAATCAGGATTCAAAATCACTAAAGGAATATTTTAAAGACAGTGAAAAAAATCAAGCCACAAAATAGGACAAGGTATTGATACACATTCGGAAAAAGGCCTCCTATCTAGAAAATATAAGAAAGTCTTACTAATCAGTAAGGGAAAGAAAATTAAAAACTAATGGAAAAATGGGGTGAGGAATAACAAAAAGTATATCCAAATCATCAATTAATATGTAAACAAATGTTTAACCTCATTAGGTATGAGGAAAATGAAAAAGAATGAGGAAAATGTAAAAACACATCCCAAACTAACTTAGCTATTTAACAGAATTGCTCTAATTCTGACACTACCAAGTATTTGGGACAACCAGAACTGTTGTCATTGCTGGAAGAGATGTGATTTGGGATAGTTGTATGAGATGACTGTTTAATAGTACTGAAGAAAAAAATGTGTCCATCCTATGACCTATCAATTCCTTTCCAAGGTAGACATGATATGAAAAAATATATATACCAGAGACAGATTAGAATACTTATGGCATTACTCCTAATAGCCCTATATGAAGGCAATTCAGGTATCCATCAGGGTATAATGGATACAGATCTTGTAAGACTGACATATCCAAAGTTAAAAACCAAACAACACTGATCTATGGGTGACAGAAAATCAGGATAGATACTGAGAGGGGACTTTTTGGAAAAACGAGACTCCATTTCTTTGTTGGCTCATAAGTACTGGTCTGTGTTTACTGTGGCATCAGTTTTCACTTATCATTTAAAAACTTTTCTGTATTAAGTTATACTTCAAATTGAAAAGTATATTTGTAAGAAATTAGTGCATTAGTTGTCAAGCTCCAAAGTGAGGTGCTGTGTTTCATTTTATAAAGCCCTTTTCCATGTCAAATCCAGATCTCTCCCTCAACTTCTTCCACGTGGGATCTTCCAGTGACATTTTCTGGTAGTGGATTCCTATGTGAGAATCACTACTGGATGAACTTCCTCCCAGGAGTTTTAGCAGGTTTGCAGTTGAAGCCAACACCACCTTTACTGACAGTGAACTTTCATGTTTATTTTTGGGGTCTTTAAAAACATGCCTGAATTTTACTTACATTATATACTTAATCTTGGAAGTGACACGTTTTGAAGTTTGGATGCAAGGATATATTATTATTCTCCTTTCATAAATACAACTTCTGAATCTCATGTTGAGTTATGAAAACTTTTTCTTTAAATCAGTATTTTTCAACCTGTTTTCATTCATTATTGCCCCTCTCCCACCACAGAGTTTCTTAGCCAATTTTTTTCTGAATTGTCCTTCCCACACAGTTCAAAGTCACAGATATATTGCATATGTTTAGGTACTATATGTACGCTTGTGTTTATAAGAGTAACAGAGTTTGTACAGAATTACCTCTTAGTCCCTTGTGAGTGACTGCCCCCGGAGACGTATGATTTAATTCTCCTATTCATGGTATCTTCTGGTTGAGATTCTATAACATTCTACTTGTGACTATGACTTAATGTTAAACTTTTAAAATACCACAAATAATTTATTTTCCTCCCAAATTCAGAAGAAAAAAGGAGAAGGAGCTTATAGGTGTGATTGGTCTGCAGATGAGAGACTGGATTTCTGAGGGATAGAATGGCCTTCTACCATTTTTCAGTGTGTGACCAAGGTGGGTTTAACCACAGCCCAGTCACTTACTTATTCTATGGTACCAAAAGGCCACATAATATAGGGATTTTTTTGGTTTGTTTTTTTAACCCACTGCTATGGGTACTATAGGAGTCTCTTTTCTGTAATAGAATTTGGATATAGATAAAAAAGGAAACAAGTCTGGATTTTTAAGATTTGAAAACTAGCCAGTCTTATGTTCAGTCTTGAGATGGTAAAATAATACACCTCTGCCACAGAAAATATATGTTCTTTCCTCTGTTTCTGAATCTTCCTCCTAATGTGTGTGGACTAGACAGAAACTGAAGAGAGGGCAGTGAGGAGAGGGCTCTCGAGCCTCTATGGAGAGGCAGGGCCAGTGGAATTCAACTGATGTACCTTTTTCCCTAAAAAAGCTGGATGAACCCCACACAGCCTAATTCTTTCTCCATGGGATTTTCAGCTTGACAGTTTCCTTATCAGAAAAGGGTCAATAATATTAATTTTTTCCTAGACCTGGAGGGAGGATGATGGTGATATAAAGTGTCAAGGATGTGTTGGTGACTCCTAAGTCATAAATAATCATGAGACTCAGTTCCCACCGTGGCTCTTCTCATTACTGGTAACCAGCACCAGGGAAGGTGGCAGTGTGGGGTCTGGCCTAGGCCCTGGATGAAGTTGTGAATTAGTGACAACTGTCTTGAACACAGTTCCAGCTTTCTGTGGTCTTCCCTGGAAACTTCCAATGTCAACTGCACACTCAACGCTTGCCTGCTCTTAAAATAATAACATGCTACAAAATTATTTCTCTTATCTTTATACCCTGTTTATGTAAGTACATCACCACAAGGTCTGAATTACTAAAAGGTTTAATCTTCAAGATATCTGCATCTTAAGATACAAAAAATGGGTAGTCATCAATATATGAAGAGGTATTTCTTCACAGAGAAGCTTTTACATGCATTTATACCCATTGCTGCATCTAGAAAACAGGGCATATCCATGGAGGAGGGCTCAGAGTACCAGTAGGAAACAGCAGTAGTTTCTATGTATCATTTGGCCATAAACTGAACAGCGTGATCAGAAAATAATTTTTCCTTACAATGAGCTTTTTCATCTTTTCTAGGGGTTCTGCTCTCGTGTTAGCTACAGGTCTTGTTTTCTCCTGGACAGTGAAAAAGGACAGGATCTTTCTGAACCTGTGAGCCTCAAAAAGAGCATGTTGGGTACGTGTATTACAAAATTTCTTTCCTTACATAACTAAAATCAGTTATGGATATCTTGTTATGAATTCAGTGACAGAACTCCATCTGGTCACTCATGACTGGGCTTAAACTCTGGAAATCTCTTCTTTCTTCAGTTGTTGTACACCAGACCTTCTGTGATCCTTCTGTTTCATCATCAGTGTCTTCTTGTCCTCTCACGTCTGTTTTCAGACTATCCTTCACTTCCAGTATCCTGCTGTTCTTTCTAGTAGTTTAGTTTTGCCATGTCACCACCATCCTCTGAGATACACTATTGTCTACATTGAGTCCTCTTTTTGCCCAACTCCAAGTCCCTGCAGACACTGGCTCAATTGTTTTGTCTTCTTTTCAAAAGTCAACAGCATTTTCCACTCAGGCAGTTTCTCTCACTACCTAATGCACAGGTACTGCTTACCCTCTGCATTCAGGCTCCTATCATCATCTGGGCTTCTCAAGCCTTCTATTGGAAATGTGCTGGCATTCCACAAAGTTCTTGACTACTCTCGGTTTTATGCCCATTTCTCGTCTTTGAATCTATCTGGGCTTCTCTTGCAGCAATGAGTATTATTTGAGTATAGAATAAGCAGATCTTTTTTGGATGAATAATTGTGAAAAGGCATTTCTCACAAACCTATTTAGGAGGGAGGATAACAGCCAGATGGGAATGCCAGCCCATCTTCTACTACTTGACTTCGAATACTGTTGGGGAAGCTTTGTTAACAACAGAAGGAAAGTAACCACCGAGCACTGACAGATCACCTCACAAAAACCATAGTATAAGCCCTTTGAGACACACATTAACCCTTTCATACTTGGTCGGTGCAGGCAGGATGGCCTGGTAGTTGTAGTGCTGCTGCTGCTGGCTCAGGATCTGCAGCTGCAGGAAGAGTTGCTGCTGCTGGAGCAGGCGAGCGTAGTTGGAGTCCATCTGTGGCTCGTTCTTCTCACCTTTCTGATCTGGTGGAATGTACTGGTGATACTTTAACTTCTTTACCCGGGGTTTGGGATCTTTGCACTTTTTGTTGCGGTGTTTGTCATTCGGATTCTTGGGATGGCTTTGCTGTTTTGGGGTGGAGGAGAAAAGTATTTTAAGAGATGTCATTCCATGAAATTGATTTTAAAGTGTGTCTTCTATTTGAAAATCAAAAGCAGTGTAGCTTTGAAACTAATGCAGCTACTATTGGTATAGTGGTGCATGCCTGTGATCCCAGTCTTGAGAGGCTCAGCCAGGAGGACTGCTATGAGTTCAAGGCCAGCCTGAACTACAAAGTGAGACTTTGTCTCAAACAAAACAAAATCAAAACCAAAAATCAAACAAACAAAAACTAATATAGCTACTTTGGGAATACTAAATACATTTCAAAGATCCATGAAGACACTTGCATACTTATTTAGACCAAAAAATCTGATACATTTGTTTCCTTGGGGTACTGGCAAGATGCTCAGCCTAGATTATCTATTCAAATTCAACAAATATTTACTTTTGGTCCCTTGTGTGGACACACTCCTAACTGCTTACATGTATGACCTCCTATTGAAGAACAAGTTGTACAACAAATACACAACAGGGAAAAGATTAAGTATATTTCACTCTGTAATTTTTTTTAAAAAACCTATTGAAAGGATTGGGGACTTAGCTCAGTGGCATAGCACCTGCCTGCCAAGCACAAGGTGTGAGTTTGATCCCTGATCCCCCCTCCAATAAATAAATAAAAATTTAAAAAAATCTATGAAGACTATATAAAAACAGAAAAAAATGCTTCCAATGAGACTAAAGCAGACCATAAAACTGTTTCCAAGGAAATAACATTTAAGTATTTAGTCATGAGTTTCGACATTTTTCCTTTTAAAACTGGAAACAATGCATCCCTTGTCTTATGACTATGAATCACATAATTTATCAGATAATTTTCTACTTTTCAACATTCATATAGTAAGATAACTTCATTTAAAAAATCCAGCACAACACATAGGAAATTACTCTTAAATTGCTTTGGGTAACATACAAATTAATGAAAAAGATGACAAGTATTAAATGTAGTTACTGACATGCAGTCATGCTACTAATAATGTTATAGATGCTTCTATCCAAAGAAAAAATTGTAAAACAACAAAAAAAATCCTAAAACCTTCAAATCACCATAGCATGTAGACCGGAAATAAGATCTTTTGCACACCCTTCCTATGCATGTTTCCTATTAATAATTAACATAACTGGGATGATGCCGTATATACTTATTAGAGCTATGCCTTTCTCCTCTTCATTTGGTAGCATTGTAAAACAGTTTATGGGCCAGTAAGTTCAGTCATAAGAACTGATTATGTGTATCTTTTTTTTTTTTTTTTTTGATTATGTGTATCTTTTTCCAGCTCTGCATTCAGTGATGTCACATGAGTAGCTGGAAACTGGTCATGGTGGGAATATTTGCACCATGGGAATTGGCAAAAAAATAACCCTGGCTAAGTTGTTACATATTTGCCAGCACACCACTGCAATAACAATCTTAACTTAGTATCACATTTTTTGAACACCAGTAAATAAGGATTTGTAAAGATGTATTTTGGAGAGGATTTCTCCTGACTGTCAGACTTGACCACAGGACCTCATTTTCTTTTAGTTCTAAATTTACTGAATATTACAACTGCTTACTCCCACAACTTCCCTTCTCTAATACATTATTGTTCCTGGGGACTAAATCCACATCCACAATCCTTCCAACATTTTGGTTTCTCAGATGTGTGACCCATTTTCTCTAAACATCTCATCTTCTTCCTTAGCTACTCACTGCCGTGGTAATAACCTAGATCTTATCATTCCCTGAACTGTATCTTCTCAATTCCTAGCATCCTAATCTGGTAACCACCAACTCACTCCACCTAGGACACCATCCCTTAGCACTTATTTGAAGCAGTCCTTTCTCTTGTTACTTTACACAGTCCCTCACTTTACTTCCACCTGTCTGTATCCCAGGGTATACTCACATGCACTGCTCACCCTTTGCCAAATTCAACTGGTAAGATCATACGCTGGTTCTGTCACTTCAGGGTTTCTTTACAGGGCCTCTTTGACATTCTGAAGTGGGTAATCCTTGCAGGTTGTGCTGTGCACCATAGGATGTTCAGCAGTATCCTGGCCTTCTGCCAGTGGGTACCAGTAGCCAAACCCTTTTCCCACATTGTGACAACCAGGAATGTCTCCAGACACTGCCAAATGTCCCAGGGTGACAGTAGATTACTCCTGTTTGTCTACTCCATGTCTGTTTTCATATAACTAAAAGTGCTTCAGAAAAACAAAACCATGCCATTCTTTAAATTCATAATTACCACCTTTAAGCTTATCAGTCCCACCTGTCATCCTATTATTTTAGTCCAGTTATTTTCTTACACTTCTAGAAAATACCTATTTTCCTCCTCTACTCAAGCCTTTAATACCTCACCTCATGCTCATGTCAACTGGTAACCTTGTCTCCAAATAACTGAGCAAATAAATGATGAGTGCAGAGCTTATTCACATGCCCAAGGGCCTGCCTATTCCTAAGTGCTTGTAGGTGGCTTTCTTTCCCGGGGCTTCAGATGAACTATTGGTCCAGCTGCCTCAGTCCAGCAACCCCTTTCTGAGCCAGAGTCCACATTCTCTTGCCTACACATGGTGACTGTTCTGGGAACCCTTGCCCCTCTTTTGGGTCCTCCCTATGAGCTCACCAACATCCTTTCCTGACCCTCACATTCTAATCGAGCTACAGACTCTTTTCTCGTGATCCTTTCCAACAGAGGTCGTCAAAACAAGCTTTCTATGACGCCACTTCCAGTTCTGTCTCTTTCTTCCCACTCCAACCAAGCTTTTGCTTCTAGTATTCAAAAGAAGCTGCTTTTAGTAAGAAGTTCCCGCTCTCATCTGAACAGCTCATAGCAGCAATGACACATACGACCTAACCCATCCTGGAAAGGCGGCCTTTGGCTTCTGAGCCCCATTCTTCCACCATATTCACTGCTTTTCTCCAGGCTTCTTTTCTCACCCTTCCTATCTCTTCAAAATACTGACATGCCTATGGACTCAATTCTTGTACTGCCTTTTTGCTTCACTGAGACTGGATTTTGTGACATTCAAGCCTGTGAATACAGTGATGACCTCCACATTTCTGTCCAGTTCTGGGGCCCTCTCTGAGCCTAGCTCTTTCAGCTGCTTTTAGGACATCCTAGTGGGTATCTCCTGGGCATCTCACACTGCAGGTATGCTTCTTCTGGTCATTTAAGTTGGAAACGCCAACTTTTTAATTGCTTAGATAGAAAACAGTAACTGGTTCATGATGACTCCTCCACACAGAACACCTAAACAGTCAGAAGTGCTTCCCAGTTTATCCTTCAAGATGTAGCCAGCCACTTCTGAACTCTGTCACTCACGCCAAGGCTGCCACTGTCCCCTGCAATGAATGATACCTTTACCCAGTCTGTGTATCTCTTTGTTCTTCTACTGTCTCTAAGCAGTATTTTGTAACAGTAGCCTAACTTCTAACAAGCTTAATTTCTCACAGGCCTGAGAATAGTCTCTGGTCTTTAGCTGCTCTTGATTGCATGGCTTACTTTTGATCTTTGGTCATCACTGATCAGGTAATACTGGCTTCCACATTCAGAGACTACAAGTTTTCTTCCCATAGATGCCCTCATGGCTTGCACCTTTACCTCTATTAGATCTCTGTTATGGATTGAGAACTGGTGGTCAACTTAAAGCCAGCTGGATTACATCAGCATGCATTGAGTGAAGATGCTCCACCTGAGGAGGGTTGAGGCAGTAAGGAGGCATTGTGGGTTCTCCTATGAGTTGCTGTCTGAGCTGTTGGTTCTCCTGGACAAGCTTTGGTCCTCACATTGAGCATTGCTTTCTGGCTCCGGAGGGGAAGACATGTGCTGCTTGGTCTCCAGGAGGAACTCGTCACGCTGCTTCCTGGCACATACCCGACTATGCTTGTTGTCAGAGGAGCTCGGGACCTCCGTGTCGCTGAGGACGCCTATGGTACCTTTCAGGATAGCCCTGGTCTTTGTTGTGTGACTTCTCCGCTCCAGCATAGAACCCTCATCCCACTAGCACAGCTCCTTCATCCTGCTGACATAGACTTTCTGGCTTCCACTGCTGACCCTTGGGTCTACCCGGCACGGATCCGTAAAAGAGACTGGCATGAGTCCTTCTTGTGGGCTTTGGACCTCCAGCTGGACTCATGGGGGGCATTGTCCTGAGCTCTGGATTTTTTTTTTTTTTTTTTTTTTTTTTGTCTTTTTTCCTTTTTATCGGTACCGGGGATCGAACTCACGACTGCCTGCTTGCAAGGCAGGCGCTTACGCCACTGAGCTAAACCCCCAGCCCCCGAGCTCTGGATTTTTTTCTGGACTCATGTGGGACATTGCCGTGGGGTTTAGGCTCTTGACTAAATAATCTATGTCTTTGGTGTTGTGGATAGATTTCCTGCATTTTCCTGTGTTAATTCCCGGTGACCATTATAAAAATATTATATACTCCATGACCTGAACCTAATTGTTCTCTGTGTACAACCCCTGACTACAACATATGTCCTGCAGTCAACGACACCCAGTTACAATGATAAAGGACTTTTACTCTAGGATGATTAAGAATAAGGACAGTTCTAATGGACAGAACAGGAGAGGAGTATGTATCACGCTAATTAGAAGGAATCACCTTAAAAGAGTGCTGCAAAAGGCAGCATGAAGTTTAGACTAGAGCTCAGAACACTGGAGTATTTCTGTCCTTCTTAACTTTTCTGGGCTTCAGTGTCCGTCTAGGAACAGTGGTGCGAGGGTATCTACATCTGTGCTTTTTAGTTCTAAAGCTATGTACTCTGCTAGTTTTAGTAAAAGTCAACTTTGAAATGACTATACAGTGTAACCCTTAGACTATTGTTCAGTTTACTCTCTATCCATTTTGTTTAGAAGTTTTAAATATAATTTCAAGAACTTTAAAAAAGTACTGTCTTTTAGAATTTTTCTTCTTCCTTGGGATTTATTCGGAATTATTTTGACCAAGTAAAATACAGGGAACAGTTCCACAAATGTGAAGCTTATCTTAGAACAATTCACGCCTTTCTGGCCAAATCTGCTAAATCAAAAAACGTATGTTTCTCTAAAACTGTTAAACTGTCATGTAATTTTTTTGGAGTATCAGTGAGCTTGATTCTGTGCATACAGCTCAGAACTGTGCTCCCATCACTAGACAGCTGTTCATGAGGTCCTTGGATCTCAATGCAGTGCTGCAGTCACCTAATAGCAGCACAACTATGTGCTCGTGACAAAAAGATTCCTCCAGCCTTGCTGCAGAGCTCAGCAGTTTTACTAAGTAAAATTCTGTGCGCATTTTTGGAGACTACGGGATAAGTCATGTACTGAAGGATGCAATTTTAAATATAAAGCCTCCAGGCCAGTAAGTTTCCCACAGTTTAATTTTCAAGATTTCAGGCTAAGAGGCAGCTTGGGTAACTTAAGTCCTTCTGTCTTTGTCCACAGGCTCTGACATTCACGAGTCAGATTACACAATACCATATGCCAGGGTACCCACCTTTACTAATGCAGGGCTAGATTTTGCTGAGGATGCAGTGTTTGTGGGGAGGACAGGAGCTGTGGACCTTGTAGGAGGCTGGTCTGAAGTGGGAGGAGTTTTCAAGAATTCAGGAACTGCTGTGGACACTGAAGTAAACTGATGGAAGAAGCAGAGAAAGGAAAGTCTGTAAATCCAGTGATGGTAAAAATAGAAAAATCAGCATTATAAGGGAATGACCTCATGCTTTACCTCAGTGGAACCAATAATTTAGTCTTTATTCCTGTAACAATGAGTAGATGAAGGTAAATAAGGTTAGAGCTACTCAACGGTAGTATTTTCTCAGAAATGTGGTCAGAACTACCCTCTTTTGGCAGAAACAGCCTAAGACTTAGAAAAGTGATAAGAAGAATACATGATATTTATAAAGTTTTCTTGCTAAATAGGTCACACTAACCCTGGCTAATTCAAACATGGTAATTTAGTTTTTGCTATAAAGCTGGACAAATCCTCTCTTCTATTCTATCCCCACTCGCATTGCTGGGTAGCACCTCGTGGTGAAGGCTCCCTCTGCCCACAAGTGCTGGTAATTGATGCTGGTGTCTCCAACCCTGACTAGCATTCTCATTCACCAGCCCCCAGCACACCCCCTCCCCCCGTTTTGCTCAGTAGAAGCTGAAGAATACATTATGGTAAGACTGACTTGTTTCACCGACAGTGTCACCTCCTTTAAAATGAGAAGCTACTTCCTTTCCAGGCTTAAATCAGTAATGACTAAATTTCAATTTGGAAGTACAGGCTAACGAAGAAGGTTCTGATAGACTTTTACCAATTCTACTTTAAAGCATTCAATTACTAGAACTATTACTATTATAAATCAACTGAATTTTGTATTTTTACTTGGACTTAGTCATTACTAACTTTATCTTTTTTAAAATGTCCTATTTTCACTTTCACTTTCCCAAACAAGTTTCAGAGTCACTCTACAGACAATCAGAATCAGTTTCTTGAAGTATTCGAGTTTTAAAATAGCAAACTACTTTTTCCTTCTTAAAATAAATGACCTGAAAACTCACAGAGGGTTATTAGCAGAAGCAGCAGCAGCAAGAAATAGGAACCTTGGCACATACAGTTATTCAATAAATATTTGCTTAATTGATGAGTGGACATTCCTGTGGCTTTATGCAGCCAGGTCATGGCCTCAAGCCCAGCCAAGACTGTAAGGGTCCGAGCCTGCAACTCACTGTGCATGACAACTCAGCTTTCTTCTTGAGATTCTTGACACTGATTTATTTTTATGTAGTTTTTTAATAAGTATTGACAGTAGAAAGACCACATTTTGTAAAGATGGCTATATTCAATTTCGTTTCAAACAAACGTGGTATGAGACTCAACATCTAAGAATCCCAATTCCACGTTCCAGGCACATTTCTGTCCTCCAAAAGCCCTGAGATGTCTGGTTCCCTGATCTTCAGGAAACCTCTGATTAACCAAACTTCACAGATCAAGTAAGAGATGGTCATTTCTTTATAGGATATGATTTACATTGTCTTCCTTTTTACCTTGCATATTTTTTAGATATAAGGATATTTATCTTTTATTCAGTTTTCAAAGAAGGAAAAAATATTCCTTGGGCATTATATAACTCATACATGAAGTAGAAACAAGTATTTGCATTTTGAACTCTTTCTCTAACTGGGCAAGCTATTTTACCAGCACAGTCCTCACTAATGAATAGACAGCAATGATGAATTTGATAGAAAGCAGTGTTTGCAATCTTAAAAAATATCAGTCTTGCAATCTTAAACTCAAGTTTTCAATCTTAAAAATATTTTTTCTGCAAACATCTTCTCCAGATATTTTCATATTCGCAAATGAAACTCTGTACCCATTAAACAATAGCTACCTTTTCCCTTCGCTTAGCCCCTCTTAACTATAACTCCATTTTCTATTATTTCAATTACTGTATTTCATACCTGGAATGACAGTTTTGTCTTTTACTGACAGGTTACTTCACTTAGTTATAATGTTCAAATTATTACAAAATTTCATATGTTGTTTCATATTACAAAATTTACTTTTTATTAGCTGAATTCTATTGTGCATATAGAGAACATTTTGTTCACTCATTTGGATACTTGAGTTGATTTTGCCTTTTGACTACTGTGAATGCTGCTGCTATGAATCTAAGTTTTTTGTGTTATTTGGTGAGAGGTCATACACTTGAAAGTTACTGGATGTAACAGGAAAAATTAGTTTTCCAATCGCCTAAACTTGTCTCCTACAAATATAGAGTAGCTAATCAACAAAGTTCCTTTTAGTATTGCTAGGCTTTGGAAATTTATATAAGTCTCATCAAATCATGCTTATAGTTTATAGTAAGTTATTAATTGAAGGTTTTTATAGTAAGTTATTAATTGAAGGACTTAAATCTCTGAGAGAAGAGTCCATGTTGAAGGAATTTGGTATCACATATGGCTGGTTGTGCTTGATCTTCTACTTTCTATTATTCAAGAGTTGCTTCAGCATAAAATAAATTAAGCTCCAATCTGTGATATGTGTACCACTAATACTTTGGTAAGTACCTTTCTAGTTGTACTCTGATCAGAGTAGAAAAGACAAATCCAAGCATAGTTTTAGTCTTACACTTACACACAGAAATAGATATTTCAAAAGACTTTTTTTCTAACATTGTGAGGTCATTAGCATTTTAGGTTTCAAGAGAAGTGCTTGAAAAACTGGTTCTTTACTTAGATGTTATAGGTTGATTCTTTTTGGGGGAAGTGGGGAGACTTTTTCATATATGGATATTCTTCTGTAGCACCTAATCCTCAGACAGTTAAGTGTTCTGAAAAAGAATTAAAGAGACTAGTTGTCATAAGGCATTATAGAATAAAGCAAGGCATAAATCTATTTTTTTCTTAATTATCTATAGATATAACTTTTAAAGAGCCTGAGAAAAATTCCTTGCACTGGCTGTGAGCTTTATATTAGACACAGCATAAAAAATTGAACAGGTTAACTAGGAAGTTGTGTTGTCATACAATTAAACATGTAACAAAATGATAATTAGTCAATATATGAAAAAAGCTGATGCAGGTTAAAAGAAAGCAAAATAAAATCTATGGCACAACTATCTGAAGTATGGTTGAGCAATCTTTGTTATTCACCTGTGATAAATATAGGAAGATATGTAGAAATGTACAGGTACCCTATCATTTTTAATGTACTTTATAAAAGGATCAGTCCTCATGCTTTGGAAATTAAAATATCTAAACACAGACACACACTAGTCCTTCATTCTGTCCAGTGTGGTAAGTAGTCTATAAGAACTAAATCCATAAAACTTATATTTTCTATTTTAAAGATTAAAAATTAAGAATCTCAACACCTAAAAGATAATTTATGCTTTTGTTATTTTTTATTATCTATGTTTATAAGGGACTATTTTAATAGTGATGAGACTGATGTTTTGGGGATATGATAATTCTAAACTAGGCAAAAATAGTCTTTCATTCATTAAATTGATAAGAACTTGCTATAACATGGATCTGTATTCAGTTGAACTTAACTGAAATAACATGAGGGGAAATCCTGGCTATCGAGGAGCTTCATGTCTAAAGAGAAGCAATGTGTTTTGGGGTTTTTCTTTTTTTTGTCTTTTTCCTGTTCATTGGTACCAGGGATCGAACTCATGACCACACACTTGCAAGGCAGGTGCTTATGCCGTTGAGCTAAATCCCCAGCCTGAGAAGCAATGTGTTAAGGTCCATTCCCAAGGGGAAAGTAGTTTTCCTTGAAAATGGGGACTTTTTTTGGTACTTGGAATTGAACTCAGGACCTCACACTTGCTAGGCAGGCACTATGCCGCTGGTCTGAGAGTAGTTTTATTTAGACAAACACATTTTATAACCACTGAGTGAAATGCCTAGATAAATTCTACGAATACAAAAGTTGTCAAAATGAAGCCTAATTATCACTTTTAGATGATACAAAAATTTCAGAGACTTCACTGGCATTTTAAAATTTGTCTCTGTAATTGGTTTCAAAAATCCACCATACAATATATTTACAATCCTACTTCAGGGTTATTTTTCTCCAAAGTCAAGATAATAGTTGCCAAAAGTATGTCTCAATTATATGAATACAAGTATAATAAAATATGATTTCTTACTTATACTAGAATATTTAATACAAGGTAAGTTAATGAAGTACATACAATTTAGTATGTCTTTAAAAGGTACACAATAGAAATGATTTGACAGTTAGAGTTATTCCTGACTTTAGGATCTTTTCCTGACAGTCTGCAATGGGGACTGTTAACATTCTCTGAAATAGGTCTTTGGTCATCAGCCTAGTTGCTGGATAAGAGACAGACTTCTAAAGGTTGTGTAGGCTTAGTATCTGCTGCACTGGCAATCAACAATTCACATTTACCCTTTAAGAAATAGTGCATACTTATTTTCCTTCAATGTCAGCCTCCTGGGTAGGATTGCCTCTTGATAACTAGAGACCAAGTTTCAAAAGCAAAGTAAAAAATATGATATAAACAACATGGGGAAATATACAAAAAAGAAGAATGACAATCTCTTATGCAGGTGGAAATGTCATGAATCGCTTAACATACAGATAGCTTAGGTGACAAAAATGCTGCCTTACGAAAAGCTAAGGGCATATCAAGTAGCCATCTGATATGCTCACCTACTCAGATGGAAGCAGACAGCAAACAACTTAAATGGACAGGCAGAAGTTTTAAAAAAATGGTATTTAGTCACATACTTGACATTCTTTTCAGCATATTTTTAAAGCCCAAGGGGCATGGTGGGGCATAGCAAGTGTGAGAACACAGTAGAAACTTGTTATGGTTTGTGTCAAGATGTCCCCCCAGAGCCTCTAACAGTCATTTGGCTTTTTGGAGGTGGCTGAATCTACAGTGTATGACTGAATGGTTGTACAATGCTGGATTAAGGTCAGTGATTAAGGTCAGTTCACTGACTGGACCGGCACTGCCCTATTCCTGGTAGACTGGATAGCATATAAGGGAAAGAAAGAGGCTTCTCCTTCCTCTGTTGTTGCTTTTGCTGTCTTTTTGCCACTAGGATTGGCTGCCCTTCTGCCATGTGCCACCCTGCCTTGGAGCCGGTCAATTATGGACTGAA